TTGGGTATTAAAAATGTAACAACGGCATAAGAAAATGTTCGACAATTCTTAAGTTGCTTTAATGTCGAATTTGGAAGGAAAAACGGAGTTAAGTGCAATGCGTTGGAGATATGCCAAGCAGTTCCAGTAATTTAATCTTCTATTGAATTTGCCCTACCAGCTGGTTCACGAAATCAAAATTCGGCACAAGCTTATCTTAATATCTAAAGCAGTATTTCTCTCTTGTAAAACATTTTATTTTGCTTTTTTTTAAAAAAAAGGGGGGTAAATCAATGTAGCCGGAAAGAACCAATGGAAATAGTTCTTTTTAATTTATTTAAACCAAGTAACAGAACGTACTTTTGAAAGAAATTTATCATAATGATATTTAGCTTCCGCAATAATACTAAAGAAAATCTTTTTAACACTTATATCTATATTCATTCGTTAAAATAATAAAGCGTGGTAATAACTATAATACTCTATTTATTGATGCCAATGAATTTAAAATTCCCCTCGAGCGGTGGAAAATTAATGAGAAAAAAATATTCTTACAGCTAGAAATATAACTAGTGGGCTGTGGCCCCTGATCGCTAACGCTCGCCAACCCCCGAATATCTATGCAATCTTATATAGTTTGCTTCGCAAACCAAGCTCGCTTCGTTCGCTACTAACTTAGGTGCATTGCAAATGCACAGAATTCTAAGAAATCAAAACAATCATTCAAATCCATATAACAACTTTTTTTTAAAAATTACATCTTTTCAGTAAATATTAAGTCATTAAAATAAATTTGAATTCAAATAAATGACATGTAATTCGTTAAACCTATTAGAAATGTGCTATAGTATAAAATCTTAAAGCGCAACAGCACGACTGAGACTCATTTTTCAATGAATAACTAATAACAATAATAAAACTAATAAATTCGTGATATGAATCAAAAATCGTCAGATGAATTCGTAATATATAAATTCGTGAAAAAAAGCGCTTTCGACAAAATACTAAAATAGAGATCTATCGACAAAGACTACT